TTTAGGGCGAAAGCCTGGCAAGTCTCGTCTAAGCTCGCGGAGCTAGGCGACGACCTCTTTAGGGCGAAAGCCTGGCAAGTCTCGCCTAAGCTCGCGGAGCTAGGCAACGACCTCTTTAGGGCGAAAGCCTGGCAAGTCTCGCCTAAGCTCGCGGATCTAGGCGACGATCTCTTTAGGGCGAAAGCCTGGAAAGTCTCGCCTAAGCTCGCGGAGCTAGGCGACGACCTCTTTGGGGCGAAAGCCTGGCAAGTCTCGCCTAAGCTCGCGGAGCTAGGCGACGACCACTTTAGGGCGAAAGCCTGGCAAGTCTCGCCTAAGCTCGCGGAGCTAGGCGACGACCTCTTTGGGGCGAAAGCATGGCAAGTCTCGCCTAAGCTCGCGGAGCTAGGCGACGACCTCTTTAGGGCGAAAGCCTGGCAAGTCTCGCCTAAGCTCGCGGAGCTAGGCGACGACCTCTTTAGGGCGAAAGCCTGGCAAGTCTCGCCTAAGCTCGCGGAGTTAGGTGACGACCTCTTTAAGGTAAAAGCCTGGTAAGCCTCGCTCAGGCTCGTGGAGCTAGGCGACGACCTCTGTGATTGACGAGGTCATCGCGTAAGACTGAGAATGAGAGTCTTGGAAGACTTAGCACTAGTTGTGCTAGGTGCAAAAGCCCGTGATCACAATGTTAAGTGCTTCTAAGGACTTGGTGAATGAAGAAGTGTGGTTACTTGTACAAGATAAGTTATGTAAGTGCGAACAATTGAAACAAACAAGCAACACAATAAAAGCAAAGTATCGAGCGAGTTTACGGTTACATGCCCAAATAAAAAAGTTCGTGCAAGAATAAAGGGTTCGTGGCTACGCGCCGACATAAAAAAAGAGATAATCTAGAGAGAGGTTCCATGCAACCGAGTCGATAGAGAAACAAAAAGCCATAAGCGAGTGGCACAGGTAGATCTAGGAGGGGAGTGCGTTGTCCTCCGACTCGAAGATCTCCTCCGCCTCTAGGCCGACGGTAGTGGCGATGGCCTTCGCGGCGGTCTCCAGGGCCGGCTCCCACCGAGGATGGGTTGGCGAAAGGGTCGGGTCGCCGTTTCACCCCGCGGGGTAAGGGAGGCCACTCATCATCTCGAGCTCTTCCGCCTCGTCCACGACGATAGCGGTCCCTGCCTCTTTCACCTTCGCCAGGGTTCGGTGGATCCCCTCGTGGAAGTATAGGCGGTAGGCTGTGCATATCCTCACCAGATAGGCCCTGGAGTCATGGTACCTCGATAGCAGCTCGCGTCGATACCGCTCGACGAAGTGACATCCGAGTTCGGATGCAAAGAAGGAAGTCAGTCCCTCGGCTCGGGCGTGGGCAATGCGCGCATCCACTGACGAGCGTAGCTCCTCGAGCTCGGCATCCTTAGCCTTGAGTTTGGCATCCTTGTCCTCGAGTTCGTCCTCTTTGGCCTTAAGCTCAGCATCCTGGGCCTTGAGTTTGCCTTGGAGCTTTTCCTTCTCGGCTTTTTGGAGGTCGAGAGTCTTTTGAAGCTTGGAGAGTTTCTCTTCACCCTTCTTCACCTCTTCCTTGAGGGACTCCATCTCGGCGCCATCGCCCTCCAGTTGTTCCTCTAGGAGGGGGGCCATGCCCGCTAGAGCCTATTTGGAACAGAGGGGGAGTTATACATAAATTTTGCAACATTTGTTTAATAAATAAGAGTTGAGAGGGGGGGTCACGTACCAATCCGAGGTGGTAGGTGATAGCTCCGGCTCGGTCCACCTTGGTGGGCCATTTCGTAGTCTCGCCCCGCGGGAAGATATCAACAAGGTAGGAGCTGGTCACGGAGGCATCATGGTTCCCGGCGACCTTGTTCGGCCGTGTCAGGGGCGCATCGGGATCTTCCGATGATCTAAGTCTCTTGCGTTTGGCCGAGAAGGTTCTCCCCGGGCGCTCACGGGGATAGGTGCACAGAGGAGAGCGAAGAGGAGCATTGCCCTTGGGGGAGTCAACCATCGGTGTGGTTCGCCCCTTGGGGGGAGTCGGCACCTTTTCTGAGGGCTCGATGGGAGCTGTGGTCACAGTAGAGGGGGGTGCAGCCACGGTCTTAAGGAGCTCCTCTGCAAAATAAACCAAAGATACAAATATAAGTAAATGAGTTATAAGCATATGATTAACGTGAAAAAGAAAGTAAGGGATACGATAGCGGCACGGGGTGCCCGGCCCTACCTATGTTATCTACAGGATCGGTGGCACGTCTGGACAGCCCGAAATGCCCTAGGAGCCGGTCGCTGGTGGTCAGTTTCATCATGAGAAGGGGGCACTCATTCCACTGATCAATGAGGGCCTCGTAAGTGGTATTTTTCTTCGGGTTCTTGTCCTGCTTTGGGGCCATGGGCGGGAATTCGAAGGTATCGGGAGGGGGACGCACAAAGAAGTATTTATTTTTCCAATTGTGTGACTTCAATTGGGGCTGATCTATGAAGCGAGTACGAGTACGGCGCATGAGGTATGGGGCGCTTTTCGGGTTCCTAAGACAAATGCAATAAAAGCACAGTGTGGGGTCGAGATCGCCGAGGCGGGCTCGACACACCATGATGAAGCTAACAAGGAGACGGATCGAGTTGGGAGGTAGCTGGTTTAGAGGCATCCCGTACAATTGGCTTGGACTAAGTAGGTCGGGGTGAAGGGGGAATCTCATCCCCGCACTCACTTGGTCTAGGTAGAAGCTATGGTAACCGGATGGGGGGCTCTCGAAAGAATCGTCGGGCTCGGGGATTTTAAGTTTCCAACCTTTTGGCAATTCGATTTTCTTGGCGAGAAGGGCTATTTGGGTGTCCGTGTATGAAGTGAGGGGGTTGGTAGGCATGGCTTGAGGTTGGACGACACTCTCTTTCGCTTTGGTGTTGGGGGGGGTCGTCGGGCCCGGGAGAGCTAAGGCACTGGGGAGTGGCTCTTTGGGTGAAGAGTGTGATGATGAATTTGTAGTGGAACTAGTGTCGCTAGTAGTGGAGGAGCTAGTGGTATGGCTCGTAGAGGAAGAGCTATTATGGGTTAGAGAGGTAGGTTGCTCTAAAGAGGTGCGAAGGTGAAGTAACGGTAAAATGCGAGGAGTATGACAAAGAAATAAAACAAATAGCAAACAAGTGCAAGTACAATGAGAGGGTGCATTACAAAGGTAATTTCAACAAAATAAAGTGGTAAGGGGAAGTAGGCGTACCCATAAAGCTTGCCGATGCGGCCATGGTGGACAATTGG